AGAGGGTTCGCTGGCACCAAAGGCACTGAAGATCTGGTCCTGCAGAGCAGAGAAGCGAGCATCTGCTCGAGATTCGGCGTCGTTGTTGCGGCTGACCGTTATGTCCACTATGGAGCCTGAGGTGATATTAGGTGGAAGAAGGATGGAAGGGAATTCGATCTGGCAAAAGGTGATCAGGATGTTAGCACCCGGGTCTTTGCTTCGCGTGTGGTGGTGGCCTGGTGGGTGAGGAGGAGCTCCCGCCCAGGGCAATAGCCCCGAGATGCCCTTTGAGGCCACCCGAACGGTAGCGACGAAATGATGAAGAGGCCACAGTACGTTGTCCATGATAGTGTATAGAATGGAAACGAGCAAATACATACCAATCGCTTATCCGGGGTCAGCAGCACCGTCACGCCGGCGTCAACCTTGCCGACAGTGAGAGACACCAACATCTTGAAGCAAGGTTCACTGCCTTCTGCAATCAATCGGAGGTCCGTGGCTAGGGGTTTGTTGGCGAGCCCGAGATTCACGATTGAAGCGTCAAGGTATGAGAGTTGAGATTGAGGCAGAGGTTGAGGTGGAGGTTGAGGTTGGAACTTGCTGCCGGCGTTGACTCTGGAGGTACGTAATGTAACGTGTATGGTTAACTAGAGATGAGCTGCGGAGTGGAGCCGCGCATGTGGGAGTGATCAATTTTAGGAGCCTTGGAGGTCTCTGTGCAACGTCGTCCTAGTTGGGTGGTGGCGGGCAGCAGGCGCGCGCTAAGGCCCCAGTCAAGGTACCCGGATCTGAGTACTGGGAAATCGACCTGTGTTGGATAAACCATGCCCAATCAACGTCCACCTGTCGCACGCATACTCTAAAGCATCTTTCAAACCTTGTAGAAGATCTAGTCCGACAGGGTTTGGGTAAGCCAGTCCTTGCGGATAGCCTTGCCAAGTTGTTTTCACCTGGTAGCTGAACTCGTCGACCAGGCTTGCTGGGTTACTGGTTGGAGCAGCTTGCTTGCCTTGGTTAGTTGTACCACGCGAGGTATAACTCTGCTGCTCTTTACAGATGCGGAGTCCTAAACAGTTATCTATATAGGTTGATTCCTTCTAATTCCAAGTCATATTACATATATTGCATCAAGGATGCGAAACGTTCGAGGTTATAATCCTTTAGTTGCCTGCTGTCTCTCGAATTTGTCCCTTCACTCTGATGTATATATTGGTATTGGCACGTAGTATTACCTGCGACGGTGTCACCGCATTTAACCTTTCGTTCGCTTTGACACATCCCTTTTCCCTTCCCTGGAGAATTTATCATTTGAATTCCGCTGCCGTGGTGCTTTGGCGCTTTGAAGAGTCTGGCCTCTTTCCACCTTACCTTGAAGTTCGGCCTCCGCTTCTGCAATAACCGCCTTGCACAATTCTAGAACCTGAGAGAATTTCTGCTTACACAACTGCAGAGGTTGAGCGCAAGTAACATGGATGGTACCGCAAAGGTCGCCTCTTCGTAAGACTCTGCTGGCTCCGCTTACGGTGGGCAAGGACAGTCTTTTGCCAGACGAGTCGTATCCGGCCTCGACCAACGCTATCCTGATGCCCCTTCTAAGCCTCCTTTCAGCAGTCCTGATGATGATGACCTTGGCATCCCCAAAGCAATGTGCTTTCCACCAGAGCGGGTTGATATTGGCGACGGCTCGATCTAGAACCGACTGTGCATACGGGTGCAGAGATTTGTCCAGATACTGCATGTTGCGGACATCAAAACAGTGCTTCCGACTGACGTAAACCCTAACGTTGGTGTCGTTGGGTTTGTACTTGAGCCGGATGGGCCGTAGATCGTTCGGGAAGCCAAAGTCATGCTGCCGTGCTACACCTCGAACATAGGCGTTCGGTACGCCTTCAGCTGACCTGATGTATGTGTTGGAGTTGTCAAATTGAGAATAGCGCAATGAGGTTTGTTGTGACAGCTGGTTCGATTGGGTTTTGGGATCAGCTGTCACCGGGCGATAGCCCCGTACATCCGTCGAAGCATGGCGAATCAGGGACTCGTGACGATGTAGGGAGGACTGCAGGAGCAGAGTGTATGGTTGGATGCGCAGAGCTCTACTCATGACCTTGGCCGAAGTTCTGGTGCTACGCAGCACATCTTTCTAGCCGTGGGATAGTGATTGTTGACTGGATAACCATAGAACAGAAAGCTGCCGATCTAAAAGCTGTTTCCGGAGGGGCCAGAGAGCGTCAGAAATGCGTAGTTGTAGCAGTAGTTGCTGAGAGCGAGAGTTGGCCCATTGAGGATGATGAAAGAAACGACTCATGAAGCTCTGTTGGTAGCGGAACCGCAGCAGAGATTAACTGCGTCTTATCGGCTTGTAAGGGCTCAAAATTTACCGGTTGATCTTCCCGGCTGGGGCAAATGATCAATTCAAGGTACGTACCATTACCTAATCTGATGTGCTTGGCCTCCAAAACAAGTCAGGTACCTTCAATAACAAAATGTAGCTACTACCAAATAATGATACATTCCCGCCCGTGCGCAAATATATACAGGCGCTTGTTAGGATATTTAAATGAAGGAGATATGGAAGGTAAATATTCATTTATTTGAGTTGAATAGATCTGCTTGCGGGTAGTTCCCAGTAGAGGGGCGGAGAAAGGCAACAGTTCAAGTGAAACCTGCAGCTGTTCGAACGTTGTACAGACGTACAGTCATTCCATACGATCAATTGATCGCTACCCAATTGTTACATGCAGCTCAGATTCATACCATCCACTACCTACTGTAGTACTGGAGGTAAGTAATACCCTGGCAGCATGACGCTGATTGCACGGGGCTGCGAGGGAAGGTTTGACCCCCGCCTGCCGCACCCTCCGTTCCACTAGCTTCCCTAGGTATTCTTACGCACACATTCGGTGGCTCGCAGGGGCGAAGGTTGCAGCGCGCTGAGCGGCTGTCAGCCAACCAACCAGTTCAGCCCGCTTTGTCCACTTTTCTCTCCCGGGTGCTTTGGGTCTCACTTGTCCGCCCAAATTTTTTTAAACCACTGAGTCGTCACACAGCATTTCCCAGTTTTCGAAATCCCCCACCACACAAACGTCGGATACAAACCATCCCATCTTCTGCATTCAAACATCCTCTCAAGAGATACCTTTAAACACACCACAGAAACCACAGCGAAGCAGATAAGATGCCTAAGAACAAGGGAAAAGTAAGTCAGCGCTGCTCCTCATAACTATCCTGCCGAGCGTTCTATTGTTTTCTCTCGTTTCCATTAGCCCCGCTGCCCCTCGTTTTCCCGTAGCGAGATCGTGCTACAGCCCCGCAATGGCAAACACCAACAGAATCATACGCTTTGAGGAGTGTTGTACTGACGCGAGCGCCTTTTTTTCACAATAGGGTGGTAAGAACCGACGTAGGGGTAAGAACGAGAACGATAACGAGAAACGTGAGCTCACGTTCAAGGAGGATGGCCAGGGTATGTTTTTTTATTCCGTTGCTGACCAATATAATCCCCATTATCTTTGACATCACGACCCCTTCTCCATCAAACAACAACAGAGTCATCTCTTCATAAATTGTTCTTTTCTGCTTACACTGCCGCGGTCTTTGATGTCCAAACGAGCCTGAGGCTACAAGATCATGATTATTAACTGATGATAAACAGAGTATGCACAGGTAGTCAAGATGCTCGGCAACGGCCGCCTCGAGACGATGTGCTTCGATGGCACCAAGCGCTTAGGACATATCCGTGGCAAGCTCCGCAAGAAGGTCTGGATCAACCAGGGCGACATTATCCTGCTGTCTCTGCGCGATTATCAGGACGAGAAGGGCGATGTCATCCTCAAGTACTCTGCCGATGAAGCCCGCTCACTCAAGGCCTACGGAGAGTTGCCCGAGAGCGCCAAGATCAACGAGACTGACACCTACGGCCCCAACGAGGACGGCGAGTGCAACTTTGAGTTCGACGAGGACCGTGACAGCTCGGAGGATGAAGGCGAGGCCGGCGGCAAGGAGATTGAGATCGACGACATTTAAATTCGATGCGTGGGAAACGAATGTTCTGTAGCGGCTGGAGCGTCTGTTGTCCACCCAGTCCAGGTTTTTCTCTTCTTTATGAAGGGTAACACTCGTAGTGTTCAAGGACCACCACGACTGGGGAACGCTGTCTTCTCTCTCAAACTTCTAACCCAAGGATCAACATTCCTTAGGTTTAAGGTTCCGCGACAGTTGGATGTGCTGCATGATAAGAAGAAGACGATACAAACTGGAGGGGCCATGGTGGGAGAGACGTCATGGCCTTTTTACAACTTTTCTTTTTCATGTCTGCTTGGTTTGGTTTCTCAACGTATTTTTATGAAGACAAATGGACTGCACTTTTCTTGGAACATCCCCCTCATATTCTATGCTAGAGTTGTATCTGGTCGCCCTGATCCGATAGAATTATGTTTTCAAGGTAGACCTGGTGCGACTCTGTTATTCGCTGAAGCTCGTGACCAAATATTGACTACGTATCTGTCACGTACAAATCTAACTAAAACCTCGTAGTTTTAAGATACATGACAAAACTATATATATATAGTATGTCTAGAACTATACCATAGAGCCTTCGTTCTAGTCCAGCTCTCTGAATGTGGCTTCTCGCTGAACTGTCCCAGTACTGCACCGTATCTGTACCAGATATTCCTACCTGGGGGCTTCTCTGGTTCCGCGGAGGTGTGACAACGGAGCAGCTTTAGCAGGATCTTGCCCAGCAACTCTCTCTGCTACTAAAATTCCAAACTGGTACCAGTAACATGAGAGAGGCCAATTTTTTCTTTCTCAGGCTAGCTACTTTCTTTATACTGTTAAAAATGCAAAGGGCCTGCTTTCTACTAACAACCTACAACCCACGCTTATGTTATGGCTTGCGGCTATTGTTGGTGGTGCATTGAATGACAAACAGGGTGGAAAACCAAAGAAAAAAAAGTCGCCCCACTGCAAAGAGTTCGCTTAGGTTTAATTAAGGGGCCAACTTTCCCAAACTTGGAAACGCTCCCATGACGCAGTGGTTTAGCGTGCCGTTCTTATACTCTCCTTGGTGGCTCATAGTTGCTGGTTTGTATGACAGATATGCGGAAGTCGTGAGTTCGACCCTCACTGGGAGCAAGTTATTTTTTGCTGCTCTGTTTTGTCCAGTTGACGACGCAACACTGCCTTTCCCTTGATTTCTCTCTCTCTCTCTCTTTTTCTTCTACTTTGTTATACTCAATTGCCTTCCCGATTTTCTGGGCTGGACAAAGATTAGATGAAGAGCAAGCAGTATCGTGTCTGGGCGGCCACCACGAGAAGTATCATATATTTCTTATCCACCACACTCTTTTGCTGTACCATTCGGGATACCGCTGGATGAGGCGATGTCGAAGATCTACTCACCGGCCTATTCGCTCAAGGCACCTTGCAAATTCCCGTTGTGGTAAACATCAGTATCATGTAATTTGGATGTTTTCGCTTATATCAAATGTTGCATTAAGATCTATGCTTCTTTTGATGCTACCTCTCGCTATACACTCTTCTCATCCGTTTGAACTCGTCTCATTGTGAAGACCCTTGCTGCCCCACAACTTCATCATTCTTGCATATTGGAGCAAGAGAGATGTGCCGTTAAACCAAGCTACCAAGCTATTATGCCGAGAGCCCCAGCATACCATATAACCTTTGTCTCCTACCCGCTTACCCCTTGAATCGTATGCCTTCGCCCAAACACTAGTATTATGGCAATGCCGATCTGCTAGAGCTTCCACTGGCTTTACATGTATCACAACTAACAGGGATATGCCTATTTATACAGCAGGCGGCCAAAATTTCCTACCAGTAAGCAGATAAGGGGCGAAGGTAGGTATTATCTGTATCTCCTGTTGTAAATGTAGTAGTTTGCAGGCCGTGAACCGAGGTGGCGCAATTTCCTCAAGTCTTCTGTATGTATTCATCACGTGGTATGAGCTGGTCACAAACCAAAGTGATTCCATCTTGTCGTTCCGGATTTGGTGTACAGGAGTGGGATTGCCATTTCCTAGCATACATACGCGCATTTGAGGGGAGCGGTTCGGATAAGATTACAAGCAAATCCCAAACTCTCTTCAACCATTTACCAGTCGTCATCATCGGCCTCATCATCTAGTAGTAAAATAAAACAGTTAGAAGGTCTGCACTCTTAGAGTCCCAGTGAAAGATATAATCTCAAAGCTGCAAACTTACCACTGTCGCTGACTTTCTGCTTCCGTTTTTGCAATGCTGCAGCCAATGCATCGGCCATATTGGGTGCACCTGCTGGTGTTATACCTGCGGGCGGCAATCCACTGCCATGGGGCCCTGTGTCGCTTCCACTGCCACTGGATAATGCTGCACTTCTGTCCCTGATCTGGCTCCGGTCCACTTTCTTCAGTGCGCCGATACCTCCGGCCTTCTGAATACCCTCTAGCATAGCCGATCGGCCAACATCACCACTAGGGATTGATGGAACACCAGAGGCGTAACCGCTATCTCGGTTCGGTGGCGGTGGTGGAGGTGGAGGAGCACCACCAACACCTCCAGGTGGCGGAGGAGGTGGAGGGGGCGGTGCCGGTGCCGAAGCACCCATTGGAGGAAGAGGCGGAGGCGGAGGTGGTGCAGAGGACTGAGGTAGCGGCGGCGGCGGAGGGGCATTATTCAGAGGGGGTAGCGGTGGTGGCGCCGGGACGTTTCTTGGTGGGGGAGCCGGCACAGGCCGAGATGTTGATGGAGGTAGCGGAGGCGCGCTGGATGCCGGGGCCTTAGGAGCGGATGCCGATGGCAGCGGAGGCACGGGTCCTCTGGACGGAGGCGCATCGCTCAGGCGTTGGCCAGTAAACGCTGGAGGTACATTAAATTTGTGACCGGCTGTTCCTTCAGAATCCAATGGTGTCTTAGCAGGCCGCGGTGGTGGAGGGGGCCCCGGCGCAGGTACCGCCGGCACAGGTCGTGGTGCGGGATCTGAATGTGCGTAGATGCCAGCATTGGGCAATGGAGGGGGGGCGTTGAAACGTGGTCGCGGGGGCACGGGGTCTTGTGGAGGTGTTGGTTCCCTGTGCACTGCCTCAACCTTGGCCGAACGACGTGGTGCAGGAGGAGGTGGAGGAACTCCCCTACGGGTCCCGGATGTGCTCTCAACGACTGGTCTAGATCCCGCAGGAGGAGGCGGTGGAGGCGGCGGCGCCCGAACATGACCTCCGTTACCATTCAACGGGGGCGGTGGCGGCGGTAGTGCGTGCGCGGCAGGCCTTGGAACAGCATCTCCCTGCTCTTTCAGAAATTCGACAATAAAGTCTTGGTTGTCCTTGATGAAGTCATCGGTAAGTCCCTGCTCTGTCAAGAAGTTTCCAAAGTTCTCTCGCCAGTTGGGATCATATGCCTCCAGCGTTGTGAATTCAGAAGAAGGCTTGTGGAATCCATTGATGCCGCCAGATGTCGACCTGGAGTGAGACGGAGCTGGGGGAAGCGCAGAACCGCGAGGAGATTCGGGAGGTGTCGGTGTGGGAGCGGAAGAATGTCTATGTCCTCCAAAGATGCTTCCGAATAACCCACCCGACTTGACAGGTTGGCTATGGCCGCCGAAAGGTGTATTTCTTGTGGCTTTGCTCGCATTTTTCTCGCGCTCGTCCATCTTCTTCTTGAATTGTTTCGCCTCCTTCTCGTCCACAAAAGACAACCCCGCTAGGCAGTCCTCAAGCTCGAAGGTGTGAAAAAAAGTCCGGTCTTGGTTGTACGACCAGGTATCGAATATCTCCTGGTCCCATATGACTCCGCGCCCGGCCGACTGAAGAAGCAAGATTGCACTGTTAGCTTCACGGATCAGCTGATGAGGAGATGTCATCAACACCTACAGATATGTCTACAAGCTTGAGCCAGTAGGTATTTCCCACCAAGTCATTGGCTAGAACAACGGCACCCTGTAGTCCGGTGTACGTCCATTTGGCTCTGTTGGGATACGCGACATACAGCCTTGCAACGGCCACTGCGTGGATCTTATTGGTTTGCTTGGGCACCACACGCTTGACCGTCTCCTTGTCCTCCTCGTTGAGAATAGAGGGCATGGCGGCAGTTGGTGAGGTCGGTCGCAGATGCTAAGGATGTGTAAGGTTCGAAGTCGCCAGTCTGGACGAAGGGATTGTGGTCGTATTTTTACTCAAGCCGTTTGGGAGAATGGAGAGCCAAATCGGTCAAATTTGATGATCATAAGATAATAACTCTGGTGATTCCCATATGGTGCTGGTGTGCAGTGGCCCCGCCAACGCAGTAATTGAAGGGGAATTAGAAAAGGTGTTGCCTCGCCTCAAGTGCGCTTGTGGGATGAGAACGCGCGTGATGCAGTGGCGGTGTCTGCTGCTAGTGGAGGGTAGGCATGCGGCTCTCTCTCTCTCGAGATGGGGATTGATCGTGCCTCCGCGAGTGGCTTCTGCGTGTTTCCCTGCCCGAAAAGTGACGGGTAAGAAATGGGGGTGGGATGAATGAAGGTGTATGGCTGGAGTAGGGGTTCGGGTCGGGCGGCGCGCTAGTTGGTTTGGGAGCGAAATGCAGCCGCCGCGGCCGGTGGAAGAGGCAGCCTGGACCCAATTGGGTTGCCTAACCTAAACTTTGGGTTGACAAGCTAAAGTCCGACCGAAGAGACAATGGGAATGGCAATGAGGCGGGTGGTTGGAAATGTGGGAAAATTAGGCGGCAACAAGCGATGAGCCGTGGTTACATTCTATTTGATCTTTGTTTATTGGTAGGTGATTGCTTCAGCTCGTTTTACAGGGCCAGCACAAGACTGGAGGGGGCATGGAGTTGAAGTCGTCATAGTTCTCCTTGAGTGGGTGGGAAGGTGAGCAATCCAGTTTGCCGTCACCGTGCAGACCATGCGGCAGGTCTGCTAATTGCGGAGGGAAGCCAACCCAATCTATCGGGATCCACCAGCTCCACCATACGCAAGTGTCTGGCGTGACAGCGTTCCAAGGAATATGCACTCATAGGACATTTGTTACTTATTTTTTCTTTTCAACTTATACTCTGTACAGTAGAGCGATTAAACACCCGTTGCGGCAAGTAGGCTCGATCCTATTGATTTCTTCGTAAACTCGCTGCCCACTTTGGCGAACCATTGGGGAAATGTCTTGACGTCTTTGACGTGAAGGTCCTTCGGAATGGAGCATGCTTCTACCGAGTATACACTGAACTTACATATGCCGGACGCGCACATGGCCGAGATTAGGTCATTGAATGCTATATTGAGAATATATGGTCTTCATGGCATAAATCATGGCCTGTAATTATAGGGTACTTGGCTCAGGTATATGATGTACGCAGAAGCTTCCAGACTGCCAAACAACTCTTACACTATCAAGTCCAGGCGACTAGACCTGGTGTACACCATGCCAAAGCACGATCATTTGTTCAGATCCTTTGCCTTAGCCTGAAGCTCCTCCTTTGTTCCCTCGGGAGCGGGCATAGACTGAGGGATAGCTGGCCCGGGATGCGCTTTGTGCGCTGCAAAAACCTTCGCACCTTGTGGCTGTGAAGCCTCCTTGGGATCGTTGGGCTTCGAGCCGGCGTCGCTCTTTCCAGTCTAATGTGATCAGCGGCGAGACCTCTAATATAGTAACTGGGGATAGAATATGACCTAGCCCCACCGAAAGAGAAGACGAGATAAATGCTAGATAGAAAACATGAAGCGCCATTATGATTATGCATGGCGGAGTCGGTGTTTGTTACAGAGATGTGTAGGCAGCTTTAGAGAGGCTATTCACTCACCTGAGCAGTGGGGAAGTTGTCTTTATCAGCCATCTTGGATATGTTATGCTTATTGCACAGATAAACGATCCTTGTTAAAGGTTTCAAGTTGCGAGAAAGCGATCAAAGTAGTTGAATTCGAGAGATTTGTCCTCTACCAACTTGATGATGTTGCCAGCAGAATCATTCGGGAAGAGTCGATCTGCCTACGTCCTCTTATATATCAAGTGGACGTACAATGGATCAACGGATGACGTACCTGGGGCACGATTTATGGCTTGTGATTGGACGCCGTTAGTGGCGTTTGGGTGACTAAATCTCCCCGCTGGTACAGATTACGCGACGGGCACCACATTCCACACCACAAACGACGAGGACCAACC